TTTATTCTGTGTATTTGTGCAACAGAAAAGCAATGGGAAATGAATGAATTTAGGTTGCTGTTTTTTCTGAGGGATGTTTTTATCTGCCAAAGTTGGTCTGGACCCAGGTCCATTATATCCACCCTCGCCTTCCAAGCAAACGATGCTGTGGCTGTAATACCATTGAAAATTATTCTGTGTTTAGTCTGTCTATAAACCAGCAAAACAAAAGATGCTGAGAATGTGAAAAAGGGTAATTTAGGGCATGTCTCCAGTACATTTGAACTTTCTGCTAGGGGCTGTGACCCAGAAGAGGAAAATGTGTTGATGTGTGCACTTGGCCATCAGGCTCAGCTTCCTTTTGCATTGCCAGTGTCCAAGGGATATGAAGCCCTTATGAAACCACACTTAGGATGAAGCCACACTCAGGTTCAATGTAGGTCAATGCTCTTGATGCTGTCACATTTGGTAGTTTGTTTGCAATAGTACTGTTGTAGCTTTTGTGCATTTTACAGACTCACTCTTTTTCTTTCTCACACACCTAATTCTGTTGAGCTGCTTTTCTGACCCTGTCCTGGAGTATCTGATGACCTGTTCCTGCAGCACCTTGAGTAGCTTCATTTACAGCTGGAGACCTGGGGCACAGAGATGTTACTGGGCTGCCCAGGGTTACACAGACTGGGGCAGGGGTGGCTGAACTTGAGACCTGGAAAGTGTCATGATGAGCAACACTGGTGACTGTCCTGCTCTTGGCTTCAGCTTCCAGTTGTCCAAACTTTCACTTCTCTTACCTCCTTGGTTAGTTCACAAATCTGATTGTTTCTACCACCATTTTTTCCAGTGAAATATAGTCAAATAATTTTGCTTAAAGTCTTTCTTATATTTCTTACCTTATATTTAGTAAAAATCTGCTCAACAGATGAGAAAGGAAATAAAAACCTGAATGTATTCAGGTGTCAGATGTGAGGAGGCAGCAGAAAACATTAACCAGTTTTGCCAGTTTGACAGTTATTTTTATTGGTAATCCCGTGTGTGTTTTACTTCATCTTTTTAGTAGGAGGTTGTCACTGAGAAGGTTCACCCTCAGCTCTGAGCTTCTCATGCTGGGAATGTGGTCCCATCATGGCTGAGTTTTATTTTCAGTCCAATTCCTTCTTACCATCTCATCTAGTGCACTCCAAGATGTTGACCTGAGAGATGGAATGCTTTGGTTATTTTTTACTTCTTTGGTATCTCTTTTGATAAAAAGAATAACACAGATCTTTTGAACCTGTAGCTAATGCCAAGCTGTGTGGGCAATAGTAGTTCAATAGCCTGAGTCCATCTCAGCTGGGTGTACACTGGGGACTTCTCCCTCCAAACCATGGATTCAGGCTGCTTAGCAGGGAAAGGAGAAGAACTGGGGCTTTTTGACCCAAAACATCACAAACTCACGTGATGAATTCTCTGGAGAGTCTATTGCTCTCTGTTGTTTGTAAGGGAAGTAAAACTGAAGGCTAAGATTTCACTTGTGGGCTGACTTTTATATGGCTTGTAGGGGTTTTTGGACATGAATGTGTGACTGTCTAAGAACCTTTTGGCTTTATTGTCTGGATATGCTTTAGGTGAAGGGTCCCCTCTTTCACAGTCTCTGCTACTCTGCAACAATTTGTAAGCTTGAGGCTTTTAAAAAGCTCAACTGATGGGGTTTTTTTTTTCCCTAAATGCAAGATAGGTAGTGGGTTAATGCACTTCTGCCATCCAGGCAACAGTGATAGAGATGGATTGACAGAAAAAAAGAGAAAAGCATCAGTTAAGGCAAATGGGGAGAAAAATACTGCATTCCTGCAGTTGGGTTCTGTGCTGGCAGTTATTCCAGCCAGTTATATCTCCACAATAAAATGTAAATGAATGCAATCATTTCTTTTGGAGCCTGGAGGCCTAGTGGTATGAAAAGATAAGCGAACATTTTCCATTGTTTATTTGGTGGGGGTGGCTCTTCTGTGTCTGCTACTGGCTCTCTGATACTTTGGCAGCATCTAAATGTTGCTTTTATTATTAAAAACACATATTTGGGAGTCTAATATCTGAAACGGATTAGAGTGGTGTTTACAGAAGTGCCAGCCAGCTCCCACTCCCTGCAGGCTCTCAGCATTCGTGCTCCTTCTGCAGGAGCAGTGCACGGGAGTGGGAATGCCAGCAGCTGGCTGAGGACTGGGAAAGGCAGAGGCACGAGGCAGGGAGTGATGGGTCTGCAAGGTGCAGGGAGTGATGGGTCTGCAAGGTGCAGGGAGTGATGGGTCTGCAAGGTGCAGGGAGTGATGGGTCTGGTAAGGTGCAGGGAGTGATGGGTCTGCAAGGTGCAGGGAGTGATGGGTCTGTAACATGCAGGGAGTGATGGGTCTGTAAGGTGCAGGGAGTGATGGGTCTGTAACCTGTGTGGTTGTTGCTGGTCAGAGGGATGAGCAGGAGGGACTGGGAGTCTCCAGTGAGCTGCTTCTCTGGAGGCTGATGGGGGGGGGGGGAAACAAAGGGAGGGTGGAGAACAATAGGACATGACAGTGGCATTAGGATAATCTCTGATCCTTTTTAGGCATATTTAATTGGCCTGTCACTTTTTCACATTCTCATGCATTTTCATAAGGATTCTTCTTTGCCTCTTGTTTTATCTTCTCGTAGCTCCTTGGATTTCCCTGCGGACAGTCTCTGGATTTCTTTGTTTTGTGTCCCCCCACATTCCCATTGCCTGGCTTTGTGGTGTCTAAGCAGAAAGACGGATTCAGCAAAGGAGCTGTTTGGGAAAGCCTCATGTTATTCTCAACAAAGAGAGAAATTTGGTATGGGAGGGGTGATTGTCAGTGACCTAAACACATGTGCCATCTAGCACAGCTCTTTTTGCATTCTTCTAAGGCTCTGAATATAAACCTACATCCCAATCATGTGTAATGTTAAGAGGAACCAATTTTCTTCTCCCTCTGGTACCTCTGAAAGCTAAGATGCATTTATTATGATTTTTCACCCAGTACTGCCTGCCTTAAAAATACAGAGCTGCTGAACTTCTGGGTTATATAAATTAATTCAAAGGTATGTTGCTCAGTCTTTCAGATCATCTCTGTTATAGTCCTACCCTTTCATTCCTGTGTGATGCCAGACCTAGTTGCTTCATCCTCCCACAAGAAATCCCCCAGGCACGTGATTAAAACCAAGACATCCATGTAAAGTCACTGGCTGAGCTTGCCAGAATTGGTAGTGTATTTTTTGTGGCTTTGAAGTTCACAAGTACTGGGGCTTGGAGGGACATAAGGACCCACAGAGTGGCAGTCCTGGTGGGCAAAGGAGATCAGAAGCTGCAATGATCTCTGAGCTGGTCTCAGAGCTGGTCTTGTCCTACCTGATCCCTGGGGTTAAGACAAACATCTTCAGAGAGGTGCCTTTCAGAGTGGTTCCTCTGCAGAAGGGGGCTGCAGCAACAAGAGAGTCCAAAACTGCAGGGCCAGGCTGTCCAAAGGGTTTGTGTGTTTTAGGAAACCAAGGGGCAAAACTCATGAGAAGGGTATCCCAGACCCTCAGCAGGGAAGGAGATGGGAAGACCTGCAGGTGGTGGTGGAGGCCAGGAATGGGTATCTCCTGCTTTGGAAGAGACCTTGTACCTAATGTCTGTGGAAGTGCAGCTGCCATAAAATCCTGTGTCCCATCAGCAGGGTGGTTTTCACAAGGCTTTTATGCATTTTCTGATGACAGCTTGGTTTGTGGCAATTTATTGTCCTGCTGGGTTGTCTTCTCTGTTTATATCTTGTGGGTCTCATTGTACAGTAGTAAATAATTGCAAAGCTGGTAGTTTAGTTTCCAGACATAAATTAAAATGCTGGAAAAAGAGATTTGTGTATTCCTGTGCCTCTGTTCTTCATATGTGGCTGTTCAAAGAACTCTGTATGCCCCTAGATGTGAGGATGATGTATGGTAAAAGCGGTGGTAACTTAAATAATGTGAGGAACCTCTAAATAAATTTTTATATGGGATTGCAAGAGGTGAAGTGATTTGGACAAGACTCTACACCAGGGAAGGTAGAGAAACAGGAAAGGGAAAGAGATCCTTTTGGCAGAGCATTGGCACAAGGCTGGGTCTATGTGTGCTGCACTATTTGGTCATGGTTGTGGTCTGGGGATGGTGCTGGAGCACTGCAAGCAGCAGTCAAGCAGCTGAGGTTTCAACCTGAAGGTCCTGGCACAGCACTGAGGGCTGGCACCAAGTGTTCTGCTAGTGAGGGCAGCATTGTTGCTGGTAGAACAGAGAAAACCTGGAGTGGGAATTAATATGTGGCTCTGAAGGAGTCAGGGTTAATAGCATTGAGGCTGGGATGTTTGTAGATAAAGGCAAAGGATCCCAAGGAAGCCACAGGCTGAAGACCCTAATAATCCTCTCTCCTCCGGTGCCCTGCAGTGGTGAGTGAACTGTAAATGAAGCAGTTATTAGCAGCTCTGCTCGTATCAAAGATATAACCTGGTCTATTGAGCAAGGAAGAGTTGCCCTTTTTTAACCTTTCAAAGTGATTTCCCTTGTGGGGACCAGCAGAAGGAGAAAGCTGTGCTTCCTGACTGGAGTCAGGTGCCCTTTCAAAGCCCCAGCAGCCCTGATCTTCCTCTTTGCTAAGGGCCTTGTGGAGCTGCATTATTTATATTTCCTCCTGGGCACCCCACTTGCACGTCCTGCAGTGCCCAAGGAAAGGGAATTGCTGGCATTCACTGGAGATTCAGAGGTGACTAAAGCTCACAAGTGATTATGGTCTCTCTTAACTTCTAGCAAAGATAATTGTACAGAAAAGCTTTTGATGAAACAGATTCAGTCCATTGTAGCCAAACATAAATTTTGCTGAGAAAATATTCTGTTTCAACATTTTCAGCAATTAAGCCCTTCTACATTTGGACTGTTTGGTGCTAGAAATTAATTAGTTGATAATATTCTCTTTAGAATGAAGACAAATGTTTTTTATGTCTTTGCTGAAGGCTAATATTTGCAAAAAGAAAAGGAAAAATATATGAGTTCCTTAAATCTCTTTAATCTTGTTCTGATAAATATACTTTCTTACTGATAAGTGTTCTTTAAATTTGTGTGTGCCTCTTTCTCACATTTCATATAATGCCAAGTGCTAGAGAGGGGGTAAATAAGAGCTGCAGGTAGCAGCTTTCAGAGGACTAGAATGATCAGATTCAATCCAGTCCTTCCATCTTGGGATCAACTGTAAAAAACAGCAAGGAAATGAGTGACAGTGTTTGATGAGACATACCTTTTTCTTCAAGACCAAGTACATGAATGCTCAAATGATTAGAGGTGGCATCCACACCTTGCTTGCTTATAAAGAGCTGTGTAGTTCAGTTCTTTTTGCAGCCACATCTTGAATTTTTCTGTGGTTGAGACAAGCACAGGTGAGCCTGGAGGCCAACAGCTGGAATTTCTAGGGAAGCAGAGACACATACTGAATTAGCTTCTCAAAATGCTCTGCAGCACTTGCTTTGGCAGATTTTCTGCAGTTGAAAAATGAAAATAAATAGGCAAAGCTAGGCAGCAAAGGAGTTTAGAAAAAAACAGGCACCATCTTTCCTCTGATTCATCTGAAATTCTTCCTGTGGGATGCATCACCACTGACTTTGGAGCAAAGTGTTTCCACCTTATTCACCTGATGGTGGGACCAACCCATTAATGAGGAAATGCAAATAGAGAGTGAGAGTCTCCTTGGCTATAAAATGCAGCTTTGACATTGTTTTTAGACATCAAGTTAAAATGTAAGGTATAGACTGAATCACAGCCTTTGTGAAGGGCTGAGTTTGGCATTGCTGATTAGTGAAATCAATTTGGCAATTCTGGGATGAGGGAAATGTAGGCTATTACAGTAAGAAAATACTTCAGAAATGGGGATAATAAATTAAGTCTGAAGACTGCAGACATGGGAGATGGAGTTCCTAAAGTCTCCCTTGGATGACAAAAATAAATATCTCACTTAGTAGGAAGTATGGAATTGCTGGTAAGTACTTTTCAAAATATCAGCTGTTGGCTAGATTCAATCCATTATTAATTACGCCATCATGGTGATAATTATTACAATTTAGACACTTCCCAAACAAATCTCTAGTTAATTAACAGTGCAGTCAGTTCTTGGAAAAGTGAGCATTGGGTCACCTCTGTGATGGTGCAGCTCTGGGTCTGATAACCACAGGGGCTGGTAAATCAGCACCTACTATCAAATAGGGTGAGAAATTCAAGCCTTGTGTGAACAGAAAAATGCTTAAAGGAGGAAAAAATTAATGATGAATTTACAGATGGATAAATGGATTTACTCTGGGCTGGGCTCAATTACCTACTCTGCTGTTGTCTTCCAGTTTAGTGGCTAGGCCACTGATGGGCAAATTTTCTGCCAGAGTGTTTTGCAGATGAAATAATAATCCCAGTTATGTGTGGCAGTGGATTTGGTCATGAAATGTGGTGGTGGACAAGGATAATTCAGCTGCATGTCCTGAGAAAACACAGGCCAAATCCTTCACTGTAGGCAAAATGAACTCTTGGATGAGGTTTCTATAAGCAAACAAAATATTGGTGCAGTGTGTTTAATGAGAATAATAAAATTCAATATCATGAGTCCTTAAGACCTCTTGAACGTTCTGTTATTGATTAATAATTGTTTAACTTGAAGCTTCCAATATTTTGCTTAAAAAACAAAGTAGTTTTTTTAACTGGGTGCTAAATATTTGTAACAGCAAGTCTGCCAGGACAAACACGCTATTTTAAAAGGTACATATTCATCCTAGCATGAGCAGTACTGATTCTGCATGGTTATTTAAATTTTCCCTATATAAAATGTCTAAAATTAGGCTGTTTTAATTTCAAAGCTAAACTGGAGGTTGCAGTGACTGCAGCTTTCCTACCATCATTTCTGGGGCTGATGGTGCTCTGTAAGTGACAGATTTGTGTGTTATCTTTAACTGTGTTCACAGCAAAGGACTGCAGCTGGCACTTAAACTGGGGCACAGGAACCTGCTTAAAAGGGAGATGCCTTTTGCCTTTCAGCTTTCTAACTCGTCTGGGCTGTTCCTGCCTAATTGCTTCATTAGCCCAGCAACAATGTCAAATAGAGGGAGAAGCCTGTTGGGAGTGCATCCATGAAGGCAGAGCATGACCCCTGTCTAGGCAGGCATCTGCAGGCAGCATTTGCAGGAGCCTTTCATTCTCCCAAGTCAATTGGCAGTCAGAGCAAGTGGCAGCACAGCACACAGAGATAAGACTATTTTAATTTCTTGCTTCAGGAGACTCAGCTGCCTCCTTGGAAAGACTGATGTCTTGTCCATAGATTCACAGCCTGAACAAACATATTGTATCATTTAATTATGAAAGGATAGCTTCAGCATTTCCTGGCAAAATAAATTGGTTTTAGGATGAATCCTGGCAAAAGTGTTGCACCTGCAGGACCACTCCTCTTACTGTGGGCAATAGGCAGTACCACTTTGGTCACTACTCTTTGGGACAATACAGCTCAGCTCTTCTAACCCTATTTCCAAATATCAGCTGATAAAATAGTCATAGTAGGAAGAGATGTCTACAAGTAATACTTAAGCTGGAATCTCAAGAAAGGAACATAGAGGTGAATGCTTAAAGTAGTCATCTTCTTAGCTCTGTGACATGACTAAAATGCCATTCACCCACATGAATTGCAGAAAAGTGCCCAAAAAATCCAATGCGTTCAGCCTTCCTGCTCATATGGGGTGTGACTTATGGAGAGGAAAAATGGGAAGAATTTGTCAGCACGTATGGTGGTTACACATGGCTGCATTCCTTGTCTCAGCAAATGCAATGGTGAGAACTAGGAATTTTTCCAAAGAGCCTCCTGCTGGTTTCTTGCAGCTGGTGCTATAGTGGGTCTGCGAGAAGTTCTAATTCAGGGGAAATAATTGCATGTAGCTGAAAACTAAACAGGGCATTTCTCATGAAGTGTCCTTTTGGTGAGTTTGTAGGAAGTTGCACAGGATGTTAAGAGTGTAGGTCAGAAAAGGTGGCCCTGGATGCAGAAAATAAGAACTTTCAAGGTATCACAGGTGAGGGTTAATGACTGAAGCATGTTTGCCTTTTTTGCTGAACACAGTTAGTGACAGACTGTCACCTGCATAAGTTATTGTCAGGGTAATTAAACGTTATAGTGCCACATGACACATCCCAACCCACATTTTACTCTGTTGGAGGCTGTGGCATTGCACAGGGAAAGCTGCAGCCATGCTAATTAGGATCAGGCAAGGTACTTGTAAAGCATAATTTAGACCATTTCCTTTTGGGAATTGTCTACTAATGAGCACAGTTTCAATGAAATTATTCATTGTTCACACTGTCACAGGATCATTTATTAAGGGCAATCAGTTAAAGCAGTACAGGTGTCAATGTGGGTAGAACATCTTCTTCCAAATGTCTGTTATTGACAATGTCAATATATGAGGAGAAAGCACTTCAGTTTGGCTTTGTTGAGCTGCCAGTTTGACCCCCCAGCCTGAGCTAACAGCATTTGTTAGCAGCATATTTGATTTAACACACTCCAAGAGGCAATAAACTTGGAGCCTGGAGGAGAGGAGAGTCCCTTCTGGCTACTCTAATGCTGCTCTGCTTTCCACAGAGGATGTGGGTGTTTCTGTGGGAATTCATATGCCAGGAAGGGGGACTTCATTGCCAACAGATAGCAGCCAATGAGTCTGTGGGATACCTGAATTTTATAGATCAGCTCATCCTGCCTTTGGTTCAAGGCTTACTCTATTGGATTTGTTGTTTCAGCATTGATCCCACTTGCTTATCTAAGGCAGACTTTTTGTCTCCAAATGCTTTAATGCCACAGTTGGTCAATGTTATTTTCTTCTATGGCTCTCAAAGGGCTCCGGGGGGTGGGGGGGGGAAATCTGTTGTCTGTTAATTGCAATAGATTATCATAATATTCACTATGGCATGAATGTTTTTGAGAGATACCTTTGGATTGTAGTTGGTCCATCTGTTTGACATATTTTTGCAGGACAGTAATCCCACATAATCTACATGCCCATATAGACTCATACTCTGTTTACAGAGAAAAACTATCTGTGGTGAACTTTATTTTGCTTTCTTTCTTAATGGAAGGTGTACACTGGTTAGCCACTTTAATGTGGTCTGATCTATGGAGATGATAAAAAGACTGTTAGTCCAGTATCTGGAAGTACCTGGTTTTATTTTTTGCAGACAATGTGCAAATACCAAAATAAAAGAAGAAAAGGAAAGGCTGCCTTTCGATATAAATCTGCATTTTTCTCCCCAGAGCCTGTTTTATAGGTCTTCCCACTGACTGTACTGATAGTCATTGAAGCACATAAAAAGTAATGTGGGAACATCCTTTAAACTAGTGAAGAGAAGATGAAAATAATCAGAACAAATTCACAAAGGCAGTATTATCAGTATTTGTAACATTAATACATTCAGCCATAACTGCACCTGTTAGTAAGGAAATATTGCCTTCTGAAATGCATTTTAGTACATTGTGTAATTTTAAGGATATGTATTAGACACACAGGATTTTGCTTTATTATTCCTGAGGAAGAAAACAAACTGTATGGCAACTTCAAGGGAAAAATGAACTAATTTAATACGAGCTCTACTTGGAATAGTTTTTGTTCCTATGATTTTGTTCTGATACATATTTTTAAATGTTTACTCGAACAGAAGGCTGTTTCTTTTCCTTGCCACTTCTCCACTGGTTGCTGTTGTAGAAAATGTGTGTTCATTGTCAGGCAGATAAACATAGCAGTACATACATATATTCTGAATACTGTATATTCACTAATCACACTGCATTTTGCTTTATTTTTTCTGAAACTTGGTGTATATTTTCATTATCCTCTTGCATTATTTACAATGGATTCTATGGCTTGGCAGGGCCACCTCAAATACTAGACATGATAAATGGTAATAGATTTCCCATTATACAAATGCTTTTTTATCCTCTTAGTTTAATTGCTGCATTTCTCACTACTTCTATTGTGACTCTTGATGACCAGTGTCCCCACAGTCATTTCCTGAGCTGAAATGAGGATTAGATTTATATATGGGAGAGCAGAAAACATATTTATTTCAGTATTGTAGAGAAACAGCTGTGTTTTGTTTTCAACTGGAATTTCCTCTAAGGTAAGGCTAATATCTTGGGACATTCAGGCAATTCCCCTGGCTAGAGAAGTTCTCTGGGACTCTTGGAGGAGGGTAAATTGGATCTTAATATTCAGGTTTAAATCAGAATATCCTTAAATTTTAGTGATGAACCTAGAGAGAGAATGAAATGGCATAGTTCCTCTAGTCTTATATGAAGACTGGTACTACAGCATCATGAAAGCAAGGAAGGTGTGGTGCAAAATGGTATTTTGATTGGAGAAAGAGGATAAGATCCTCTGCTACAGCTCCAGTGAAATTAATTGCAGATGCCTGTGCTCAGTAGATGGAAGAGAAGAAAAAGCAGCCTGAACAGAACATGCAACTGTGCATGGTTGGAGTCAGCTCTGTGCTGGGAGTCAGCTCTCAGGCTGTCTCAGAAATTGAACATTTGGGATCTAATCAGTCCCCAAGTGCTCAGGCTTTTCATCTTCTGTACAAGGCTTTAAATACATAATTTACATCTAAATTTATCTATAGTTAACACACATGTACACACTTGTCAGTGCTTTCAATTCTATATAATTTTAAAGAAAACAAGATGGAGAAAAGAAGAAAATCTATTGTGTTATTACATCAAGATTGACCTCGAAAGTACTGATGGTTTATTGAGTTTTGAGGGTCAATAATGGGAATTCCTGAATTTGGATTTGGTGTTAGTTCTCTGGGATTGTCATTTGTGTGTGCTGCTAATGCTTCTACACATTCAGAGTAGCTCTCCATAGCCCTTTCCCTGCTGGAAAGCTTTCTGTGTTGTTTTCCTTTGGTTCCAAACTTATACCTCTGAGTCTGAATTTGCAAAACTGTTCATGTGTCCTTCTAGCCTGAAAAGTCAGAAGGTAACTCTGGTGGCTAAGTGCAAAAACTCAGTGGCAGAGCATTGCTGAGATCAGGCACTGGAGGTGAATTATTTTGTGTCATGTCTCTCAGGTGAACCCTGGAAAGCCACAGTGTGTTGTTTCCACAGGCCAATGGCTGCAGGCTGTGAATTGTAATCTCCAAATCATCTGTGGGATCAGCAGAAATGTTGGCTAGAGATAAACTCCCAGATGTCCATCTATTGAGGACAGCCTTTACCTCTCAGGTATTGATTTAGTAATGAAGCTTTCTTGTACAGATCCAAAGTTTCCTGTGTGTTCCTGGAAGGCACCTCTGAGCTCCCCTGGGACCATGGTAAGAAAGAACTGAGAACCACTACTGCTGTAATCTAAGTTCCCATAGAGAGAAGGAAGAATATTTTGCTTATTCAGCTGCTGAGAGAGGCTCAACTCAGCAGAAAAGGTCAACTAAAGTGCTACTCCCAGTGTGATTTGGCCTGAAATTCAAAGGGGGTACTAACATATTAGTTGGGCAGAGTCCTCAGCAGGTGTTGTTCTCCCAGAAGAGTGTGAGGATGAGCAGGGTTGGACAAGAAAGGGAGTGAGACTTGTGTGCCATCACAAACCCTCTCTAAAATCTTTCCACAAAAAAAAATAGTGTGAAGTTTGTTTGGGATATTGATGTTCTACATGTAGTTTGTGGGATGGTGGCTTTCCTCTTAGGTCTCCGTGATATTGTCAGTGGTTTCTACAGACACAAAAAGCTGTTTTGCAGACAAGTTTTTTTAGCAGGACTTGCCCTGCTGGGGCTGTTACTAGAACAGTCCCATTGCATTTGTGCTGGTTTCTGGTGAACTGCTCCCATAAAATTGAGGGCTTTTATCTCCTTTGCTCTGGTAATCTCTGGATTAGCTTTCTAGTGAAGTGCAAGCGTGCACTCGTGTGTGCTAAGGAATAATCTTACTTTGCAAATTAATATGTTAATGTAGTGCCAGATTCCCAGCCTTTAACAGTGGGAGACCAGTGATAGGTTTAAAACATCAATGTGTGATTTTATTAATCTGGACGAGATAACAAAACAGCCCTGCACTGAAAAGTACCGAAAAGGGTCTGTGCCCCCTCTAGCTCAGTCTGCCATTCTCCCCCCCAGAGCCCCTTCCCTCTCACTGCCTGTGCCACTGCCTAAAGCCCGGCTCCATTTGACAGTAATCACACGTTAATTTGGAGCCGGCAGCCCCTCGCAGAGCCAGGCAGAGGTGCGGAGGGAGAGCGGCACGGAGCCATGTGAGCCAGCGCTGCAGGCTGCAGGAAGATGTTCGCGGTCTCGCTCAAGTGCCGGCTCGGCGTGGTGAGACGGAGGAGCAAAGGTACGGTCAGAGCAGAGCAGCTCGCTCCTGCCCGAGAGGGACTTGGAGGGCATTCGCTTGAGCATTTGCTTTTCCTTAGCTGGGCAAGAGGAAAAAAAGCTACTTGGGCTGTGATTGATTTTCACCCTCTGTGCATTGGCAGGCGGGAGTAGGATTATTTTAATTTCTTGCATGTCCTATATTTTTCAGATGTTGGATTTTTTTTTTTTCCGTTGACTCTCTGGATTTTTTCTCTATTCATCTGCCATGGTTATTACTGCAGTAAAGTAGATTTAGGTGTGCCTCAGAGTCTCACAAGGTTTCCCTCCTCCCGTATGGGAGCTGTTACTTTGCAGGGAGAAGCACTTGAGTGTTGGACACCACCAGACTGTCCCTCCCTACACTCCTTCCAGCAGGGGAGTGGGTTGAAAGGATGAGAAACCTGGCAGGATAATGGGGAGAAAATAAACTTTGAGGAACAGTAATATTTCATTTCAGAGCAAATTAATCTGAGACAGGACAGTTTCTGTACTCACCATCCTGCAGTGCTGCATGCGATCAGATCAGAAGTGCAGAAGTTTTGTTGTGCTGGATCCAGGGTCCCTCGCCCCACTTCAGCTGTCCGGGGTCTCTGCTCTCCTGGCTCAGGGCTGCGCTGCAGCCGGGGCTCAGTCCTGCTGCTGCTGCCTTTGATTTCTGGGAGCTTTGCATTTTAATGGAGCCTGAAGCAGTTCTCACTGCTTGGAGCTTGACTCCCCTGTGCAAGCCCTTCCAGCCAGCGGCACTCCTGCAGCAGATCAAAGCCCTTTGCTGCTAAGGAAGATGACCTGCATTTTTATGGGGACCTCTAAAGCAAAACAGCTTTTAGGGGCTCAGTGTAACTCGGATGCTATCGATTCCAAATTAATGCATAAACTCAGCTTTTAGTCTCACTTAAGGGGAGAGACACTTACATGCTGATGCAAGGATTTCTGTGCTGATACACAGAAACTCTGTCAGGACCAGCAGGTAGAAAACTTTAGTAGCAAAGAGAAAGGCCTGAACACAATGCACAAGTTTCTGATGTGGACTGGACCTTAAGTTTAGGGTGCAATTCCTATGTGTGACTTGCCTAAAGTAAAAAAGTGTTTACTCAGATCAAGGTTGCAATTCAATGGGATGGATGTGAATAGGGAGCAGGAGTCTGACATTGGTTACTGGGGTGCTAAGAGAGCACGTAGGTTGTGATTGCCCCACTGTGCTCCTTCCTCCCGTGTGTGCACAGGCAGTGAGATGCTCTCCTGTACTTTGCTGCACACAAGGGCATGTTCACCCCAGGGTTACAGTCCTGCCGTGGCAGCCTTGGAGCTAAACTGATTTCAGATGTATGAATTTATATTTGGCATCACTTGCCTTTGACAGTTTATCCTCATGCCTCTTTGTTTCTTTGCCTCCATAGTTTGGAGGCTTCATGGGCTTCTCTGAACTGGAAGGAGTTTCATGTTTGCAATAAAACATGTTGGCATAGGCAGGATTTCCACCTTCTAGGGCAATGGCTGGAAGTGCTTGAATCAAACCCTGGTGTCCCTTTGTAACTGCCAGATGCCAGGAGAAAGTCTGGTGCCTTATTAGTTTTTACAGTCCTTTTTCCCTGGCATGCTTTTTTGCTACATATCCTTAAGGAATTGGCAGTAGTGTTGGAACATGATGGGTTTTTCTTCTACAATTTTCCAGGAAAGTAAGTAACACAGCAGAATAAATGCATTTGTGCCTGCAAAACACTGAATATGCAGCCTGAGATTGTAATGAAAGTAAAAAAAAAAAGAGTTATCCCTGTACTACCTGATAAAGTTTTAGTGGCTTTAGTTGAAATATTTAGAATTGACTTATTTCACCTGCTTTTCTTAGTGACAGATTTAAATGAGAGAATTGCTAATCCAATGCTAAATTGTACTGCTTTGATCAAGGATTAAATTGAGCTGGAAGTGGCTTTTGGGACTTGAGCTTTGAAATGAACAACCAGAGAGAGAGACGTTGTTACTCGTCTTCAGCATTTTGGGACAGATGATGTTTAAGGAACATACCCAAAAGAATGATCAAAAATAAATATTGCCTGGTCACTTTGGTACCAGAATGAGCCCATCATGACTGGGCAGCAACCAAGGACAGGAGCTGCTATGAATTATGTTTGTGAGTAATGAAACTCTGCTGCATTTCACATGTTGCATCCTATGAGATGGTCAGACCATTATTTGGCACTAAAAATTCCCACCACCTTTCGAGGACAGACAGGAAGAAATGGCAAAGGGGATGTGTGAAAGACAGTGGCAGATACCCCAGCCCAGGTATGTGTCTGTCTTCTGGTCCAGGCATTTATGTGACCCAGTATCCCAAACCATGCTCTGCCTGGCTCTGCAGGTGGATGCTTGCTGAGGGGAAACTCCTCTGGTAAAGCTGATTTTAATTAATTGTAAGGTTAGGTGTTCAAATCTCAGCTATGGTGGCTGCTGTTAGTTTTGTGTAGTTTTAGCTTTAAACATCCTCACAGAAATAAAGATTGATCTCCATCTACTAATTGCTCCTCTCTTCTTCCAAACAGACCCCTTCCCCCAACTCTTCTGCCTTCTCTGCTATTTTCTTTTCCATCCCTCAAACTTTGCTCCTTCCCAGCTAATCCCCTCACTTCGGGGAGAAATTCTTGCTGTCAGTCCTCTTGGATTCCTGCTTTATTTCTCTCGCTGAGCCCTCCAGCTTTTCCTGGCATGAGGAACATTCACAGTTAATCCACCAGGCATTCAGCTGGTTGTCTGGGGCTGGCAGCACTTCCCTGCCCACAGCTCTTGGCTGTCTTTGGCCAACATCAGCTCATACAGCTGCAGGGCTCCTCAGTCTGCTTCAAGGACTCTTGATCCTCTGCAGAAGGTGCTGCTGAAGACCCCAAGGAACATACCTGTCCAACACAATAATTTAACCTTCCTCAGTATTAGTGTGTTTTTCCACTGGAAAAGCAGAATGATTTCTGTCTGGTCATGCTTGTCAATCAGCTGAGCTCCAAAGGGACTCTTTGGGGAGGTTGGTTGGTGGTTGCCTGCCCTGCTAGCCCCCAGTTACTGCAGCAAATCAACTGTATTTTATAAATAAGTAAACAGAAGCAGTGAAGAGCCTAAATAATTAACCAGATACATGTGTTGGACTGAAAAGCAGCAAATGAGGCAATTCAAAGGTGTCCTCACTGTTTCTCCTGCTTTCCAAAGCCTGCAGCCCAAGGGGATGCTCTGCAAGAGCTGGTGAGACCAGCAGCTGCCTGAACAAACAGTAGCACACACCAAGGGGTCTGGACCCCACTGCCATGGCAGAAGAAAAGCTTGGTTACTTGGTTTGAGACATTCAAGCTTAAAATATGTTTATTTTTGGCCAGTCTAGTTTCTCCTACTGTGTGGTGTGAATGATGTAATGAAAGTAATTTTGCTGTTTTTTTGTCAAAGATTGTCACCTCGAACATGCCAGGCATCACATTCTGTAAAAGAAAATGCATGTTCTGCTTTCCATTTACATACTTCAGTGTTTCTCAACCTTTTAAACTTCACTGAGTTACGTTTACTATGTTATTTTTTGGACTAGATGCTTTCTATTGCATTTTGTTCTTCCTCTTGTGTGTTTGACTGGGAACTGGGAAAATAAATAAGCAAAAAAAAAACTCACCCTGAAACCCCCAGGAATAAAATAGAAGAATATGTTCAGAAAAGCTGTCATATAGAGTGAAATTTTCAATTAAGAAAAAAAGTTTTAGAACACCAGGTTTTACAGTGAGACCCAGACTTCCAGTGATACCACATTTGGGCATATAGGCATTGCTGTCCCTTAGATGGAAGTTACTGCATCCTGTTTGGTGCAGAAAGATGTTTGGTTTTGTTTTTATTGAGAACAGCATCATGGGAATCAATCCCATGAACTGAGAACGTGTTCTTGTGCCACTTCACCTTGTTTGCTGTGTAGCAGTATTGCACTGTAAAGCATCCTGGCTGTATTTCATAGCAGGGAGTGTTGCTGCAATTGTGTTTCTGTCACAAAAATATTTGCTCACTGCAGGAAGACAAGAAAAGTTTTGGGTCTCTACTTGGCAAAGAAAAAAAAGAAAAAAAAAAGAGCAAGCAGGTAAGCTGCTTCCATCCTGTGGTGTGGTGCCAAGTCCAGAGCACCACACAACAGCTTGAGAGAGTGAAAAGTCCAGTGGAGCTTCTACTCCTTGAGGAGAGAAACCACTGATATTCCTGTATTTATCCTCCAGGCCCAGAGGAGCCAATAAAACACAGTAGGTGGGCAACCAACACACAGAGAAACCAGACTCATCCCCAAAATGAAGCTGTGGTGCAGAGGCTGAGCCCATGGTGAGGCCAAGTGCAGTGTTATGGCCCTTGCTTGGCCACCTTTTCTTTAGGGTGATCACTGCTTGCTAGGATCTATCCTCACCTGCCTGCTTCAAAGCAGAAGGCATCTTGGAGGTGCTGCTGTGAATATTCATGGGGCTTTTCCTGCTGCAGTGATGAAAACCAGGCAGTGCTGAACACAGGGAACTCCCTCAGCCCAAACCACTGAGCTGGCAGGGGCTGAGATTCCCTTTCTGTCAGTGTGGGTTCGCTTCAGCCCTTTCCCTATCTCATCAATAACTCATGATTGGGCATGTTTTATTTATATCTCCAAATGAAGCCCATTTTTCAGCCTGGTGCTCTAGCATCCCAGGTGGCTGTCACTGGCTCTGAGTGCTGTGTGGTGCCTTCAGCCCCAGCTCATCCCTCATCTTCCTCCAGGCTCCAGTAGCAGAGAGGATATTGATCTCTTAGGGGGGTAATTGAATGAAAAAAGCCCCTAGCAGCCCAGAGGCAGATGATAAATCCTTGCAGGGATGGCAATGTGCAAAACAGTGTGTCTGAGGGGGCATTAACCCTTCCTCATGGAAAGGTACAGCATATATTGGAATCCTGTGTGCAAATCCTGCCCAGATCCCAGCTGTTGGAACAGGAATGGAAGACAAGCCTGCCTTGCTGTGGATATATTACACAAGAGCAGTTGCATGGGCCCCTTGCTGTGCTGCATGGGGAGTCCCAGGCTCTTTCTGGAGTGGTTTGGAAAATCTGGGCTTTGATTTAGACTGCAAAAATCACAAGGTGAAATCCTTGTGCTCCTTGTGTGTGTGTCCATGTATTCTTTCTGTTTTACATATAAAACTGTGTGGGGGCTTTGGGGGTGTTATTTAAGCTAAAAACAAAGGCTAGGGAGTCTATCCCATACCTTCCCTTTATGTTACTGTGATTAACAATTTGTTGTGCAGGTGGTTTTACTGGTAATTTGTTTTCTCTGTGACAACTACTCCAGCTGTCTCCCTTGAGAAAAGTCCAGGATGTCAAGAGCAGGTGCCTTTTATTGATCAAGGCTGGTTTGTGTGGATAGATTTGCCCACTGGCTGCAGGGCATCACCCATCACCCTCTGTCCCATGTATCCCCTGGCACAAGGACATGTCACAGGGAAATGCTGCTGATTTGCATCTCTGGCTTGCAAGCTCAAACAGGCATTTTTGGAGAACAAAGAATAATTTCCTTAACCAAGATGACATTTAATATGCTTTGTCATAGAGAGGAAAACCAGGCCTTGAGTTTAGAAAGCTGTAGAAGGTCCATGAGGTCACCACTGGCCTATCTGCAGTGTGTGTGAGTGAAGGAAATGCAAATGTACATGGTACTGTGATTTGATAGTTGCCATTTAACTGTT